CCCCCCCCACAATTACTCTAAATACCCAACGTTTTCAAGACTATATTTTCTTCAATAATTTAATTATTCTTTTAAAAATTCACACAAGCTCAAAAGGGACTAATGTGTTGGTTTACTTTTTCACTCAAAAACAACGTTGAAATTTGTGCTACATAACTAAAAAGAAAAAATACTCTTTTTTTTGTTTGAAAAAGAAATTGCTCTTTCTACAACATGAAAAATTATTCATTTTGTTAAAATGAAAGAAAATACTTTTTCTACATCATGAAAAGAAAATACTCATTTTGTTGAAATGAAAGAAAATAAGTACCCTTTTTACATCATGAACAGAAAATACTTTTTTTCTGAAATGAAACAAGATACTTTTTTTATATCATGAAAAAAAAATACCCATATTTGTTGAAATGAAAAAAATAAATTACTCTATCTACAACATAAAAAGAAATTACTCTTAATAATATTTCTATTTAGGGTAGGGATAGGGCAGGGTTGAGGGAGAGTTGGTGGGTGTGGTGGGGTGGGGTGGGTTAGAGGTGGGATGGGATAGGTGTAGGGGGGTGGTGAGGATGGAGAACAGGGTGGGGAAGGTTGAAAAAGAGTTTTAAAAAATATTTTCCCTTATCTTGATAGGGAAAATATTTTCCTCCAACTAGAGGAAAATAAGTTGATTAGGAAAATATTTAGCTAGCGTTTGGCCATAGATTGACAAATTTGTTTTGAAAAAATTGATTTGGGTGAAGTTTGGTTCGAAGATGAAAATGTGTTTGGACATCAGTTTTCAAAACATATTTCTTTTCTTTTTTTAAACATGAAACATGACTTATACCCACAAGTTCTAAAAACTATCACAATGCCCAACCGTACCTTCATCAATAACATTCATTATCATTATCATAAACCATAGTCCTGAACATAAATAAATTTGGTACAAAATTATCATTTTTATAATGAACTACATAATATACTATCAGATGACCGAGAAGACGAAGCATTACTGTTATAAAATAATAAATGGTGGGCTCTTTTATAAAATTTAAAAGATTGGGGCAATTTTTAAAATATGTAACAGTAATATTTTGGGCCAAAATCAGCTTTTGAGCTGGTTTTGGCATTTGGATTTAGGGATTTGGAAATTTTCCAAAATATGAATAAAATTTATGAACAAACATATATTTGCCAAAAAATATTTGGAAAAAAATTGGCAAAATCTATGACCAAACGGGTCCTTAAGCCAACCAAACATGAGAAAATTGGAAATACTAAACACACCTTTTGTTTACTTGATTAAAAATACATAAAACCCGGGGAATAACTAGAGTACAGGATTAAAATCTACAAATGTGGAAGCTTAACTTCTTGATCTATCCTTATCGTATTATTCAGGGGCTAAGGCAAGGCAAGATTGCCTCAACAAAAACAACATTCAGCTTGCTTGTTGTTTACCCTCAAAATCAGATAACAATTGAATTTGTAAGTCGTTTTAAGGATACGTCGACTAACTTGACACAAAATGATAAATTAGATTGTAATTGAAATAAATAATGATAAAGTAAATACAAACCACACGAATTGAACAGTCTTAGTATTGGAAGGTTAATCACCCTCGAGCAAGGTACGCTACGATCGGTGTGAGGATTCAGGAGAACAAAAGCTTAAAGAGAAATAATAATAATGTATTGCTTTGAGATGCGTGTTACAATGTCTTCAATGAATTATCAGACCCCTTTTATATAGTAGAGGAGTCCTACTTTAAGTACAATTATATAAAAGGTAAAAATCCCTTAATTTGCTAATTGTCGGTTCCTCATCGATACGCGCGCGAAATTCCCGCCGCAATATCTGCCCCATTACAGATATTTTGGTCTTTCGTTAGTTATGCTAACAATTTTTTTCTGAGTTCGTTCGGCTCAACTACGGGGTCTCGGGACTCAAAGTTCTCGAAGGCAGGTATCCTGACCCGGGTTCTATCCCAGTATGACTCGGGGCCGATCTTCAGTCTTGTATTGTCATGTTCGGAGCCTGTCCTTTCATATCTTAGGCGAACTCGGTATCGACCGTATACAAATAGTCTCCTCATTTTTTCGGAGAGTAGATGACGAGAAACGACATAAGCTTCTGATTCTTTCTTCGACACCACACAACAGAAATGATAAAACAGTTGAAACGTCTTGTTAGTCAAGTCTTAATGGCATTAAATATTTGTCAGTTGCTGGTCGGCCACTCCTGGATGTGAACCGTAGTTTGAAATACTATAAATACCCCATTCATTTGCTCATTCAAACTTTACATTCAAATCTTCTGCCCTCGTACCTTAGCAATCTTAATATTTTCAGGAATTTATATTCGGTTATTTGAGATCTTTTTATAAGAACTTCTTTTCGTCTTCATCCCAAACCATCAAGTGTACTTTTTTAACTTCCTCCTTTTCCCTTCATTTTCAAACAAATGACGAAGACTTCAAAAACTGTTCCCCAAAAAGAAACTCATTCTACCTTACGGTCGGATACCGAAGAGACCGTTTTGCATACTGTTGTCGAGGAACCAGTACCGAAACCTCCTCTAAAAATGTTCATCCCGGAGGGGTGCCCTGTCAACGCTGATTTTAAGGTTGAAAAGCCCTTCTCCGTACCAGGCCAGTGTGAGGAGGCCTCGGAGTACATCTGCTTGATTACCGAGGATATTCTCTCCAAAGTCAAAAAGAATTGTAACTGGGTCGACAAATATACGGTGGTTCCCGAACCTGACGAAGCCATCACCACCCACGTTATGGGATTTTAAAGTGTTTACACCTATACCTTCACGATGGGTCCCTTAGAGTCGGTTATTATCGACTTTTGCAAAAGATATGAGGTAACCCTTGGTCAAATTCACCCTTCTTTCTGGAGGATCGTAATCCTCCTCCGTTTTTTCGTAAGCAAGATCGAAGGGTGACCGTTCACTATCGACCACCTCATGCATTTATACAGTCCCCGACTCTACCAGGGGGGACTGATCAAGCTCGCCAGTCGAGCCAGTAAAGCCCCATTCTCAAGTATCCTTGAAGAGAGG